TGCACAATAACCAAAAAAAAAACCCGGCTATGTCTGTAAGAGATTGTTGCTGGTTTTGGTTTTCATCATTTCACAAATTCCCTTGAGAGGTTATTTGTTTGTTAGTCTGGCTTGGATATCCATATTTAGTCAGGGATACATTTGAACCCATGGTCCTTATGTCTCAGCCTCCTGAGTACAAGTCCTAGGGTAGATGATGTACCCCCAATGTGTGCTGTTTTTTCAACATGCTTGAACCATGTTAGTGTTAAAATTCCTAATAGAATAAAATATAAGAAACATTAAATACCACATGTGTGTATCCAAAGCATCATTTTTATCTGTCTGGTAGATATGTAATAATGTAGGATAACCAGCAATGAATTGTATATTTTGCTGGAGACCAGCTTGGGGCGAGGGTGTTCAGGTCCCAAAGACAATATGTGGAGTCAGCAGGGGTGAGAGAGAAGGAGGAGACTGACATGATGTGAGGGTGAACAGATGGCTGCATTTAATTGAAAGAAGACACTTTTTGTACTCTATAGTTGCATTTAGGATTCAACAGGAGAGAAGAGGGCTTGTGAGCTTGTGTGTGGCTTGAAATCATCATGGGTTAAGGAAGCTAGCCTTAACCTTGACCATAGGCACCAGCCATATGTTAAACAAGGGACCAAAAGTGTTTCCTGCCACAGATAGGGAGAATGAGTGCTTTAGCAACTGGGAACTTTCCTCAAGCCCCTGAGGGAATGGCGACCCTTAACCAAATACCTGACCTTGGGAAAATGACTATTTCTGGGGAGCAGAACTACTACAATTTCTTTTTCTTACTATATGGGCCTATTCCCCTTATAATACTCCCTAAAGGGAAGATCATAATGTCTTATTATTTTCACATTATACCATACCATTCTAATTTCTCTATATTTATTAACTGAACTCTTGCCCTTAATTGCATCAGGCTCTGGATCTGAATAGTAAGCTTTTTATCATTAGGATCAGGTGTGCCTAGTATATCTCTACCTATCCTGTTCTTGGTGTAATTAGAAGGGCACTATGGAATTGCTCTGTCCATTGTGACAGGGATTTTTTCTAAAGAATTATTTGTTTACAGAGTATATCATTGTATACATTTTTATCCTTTACCAAAACCTGCACAAAATTTCCCAAAGGGAAAGTCATTAATAGTGAGAATCATTAAAAAATGAAAGTAAAACAGTGCTGGAAAAGTATAATCTGTCTGTAATATTGAAATGCTGGAAATTTGTCAAGCAGCTATGGTCACCATGTGGTCTACACCAATATTTCATAACATAGCTTGGTGTTATATTGATATGTATATATTATTTGAAGTTCCATGCTTCTTCATGTCTGCATTTATTTCCCATTTGGCACTTCATCTTGAAGTACTGCCTTCCAGGGGATTATCCAGAGATGCCAGATAATGTAATGGCATTGAGATTTATTAACAACAAAAGAAAACAAAACAAACAAAACCAATTTCTGGGGTGTGTGTGTGTGTGTGTGTGTGTGTGTGTGTGTGATGTGATTTTGGGTTTTTAGGCCATGACAGACATGTGGAGACCAAAAGGTATCTTTGTGGGGTCTACTTGTGGTCCTCTTTATATGGTTATCAATGTCAAGTCACACCCTTGCACAGACATTTCTCACTTAGCTGTCTCAGTGGTCCTCAAACAAAATTAGTTGAAATACTACATTGGTAAAATGTTGCCTTCTTTTCAGATTATAAACATGTTGTCATCTCATGATAGAGGAAAACAGGACAATTTGAATTAATAGAGCCTATTTGCAAATGGAAATGATATACTGCTATCTCTTGTTTTCTTTTTCTTTAGATTGTGTTAATTGTTTCTGAAGAAGTAACCGTCTTATTAAATTAGAAACACAGAGCCAATGTAAAGATAAAAGCCCAAGAGGTCAGAGCTAAGAGCCTTACCCTTCCTTATGGTGATATTTTATTTGTACTAAAATGTTATTTGTATGTTAATAAATAAAGTTGCCCAAGGTCAGAGCTATTAGCAAGCCATAGGAAAGCAGCAGTGGTGGTGTACACTTGTAATCCCAGCACTTGGTAGGCAGAGCTAGGTAAGTCTCTGTGTGTTCAGGGATACAGCCAGTATTGGATACACATGCCTTTAATCTCAATACCAATCATAGAAAACCTGGAGGCCTTTACAGACAGGCCATGACGAGGCGGTCATGTGGTTGGGTTAACAACCAATGAGAAGGCAGAACAGAAACTATATATAAAGACTTTAAAACAGAACGTAGCTCTGGTTCAGAGGTAGGACCACCGCAGGAGGAAGGGTAAGGTTTTAGCTCTTTGCTCTGACCTCTTGGCTTTCTTCTTTGCATTGGTTCTGTGTTTCTTATTTAAAAAGACAGTTGGTTACATCTACACTTCCTGCTTCAGCGATCCTCTTCAGCCAAGAGAGACCTACTTCCTGTGTGTTTTTCTTTATAAAGACTTTCTGTTCTGCCTTCTCATTGGTTGTAAACCCAAACACATGACCGCCTCGTCACAGATCTCCAGGTCTTCTATGGTTGGTATTGAGATTAAAGGCATGTGTCTACAATGCTGGCTGTATCCTTGACCATACAGAGATCTACCTAGCTTTGCCTACCAAGTGCTGGGATTAAAGGCATGCACCACGAACACCCAGCTCCACTATGGCTTACTATTAGCTCTGACCCCCCAGGCAACTTTATTTATTAACATACAAATAAAATCACATTTCAGTACAAATAAAATATTACCATATGATTCTGCGGATTAAACACTTTAATCTTAAACACTGAGAAAGTTCCTAACACTTTCTCAGAACCACAATCTATTGCCATAGAATTGTTTCAGTGGGTGAAGTTGGTGGCTGTTAAACCTAATGACCTTAATTCAATCCCTGGAAGACTCAAATTACTCCTACAAATATTTCACTTATTTCTACACTCAGGCTGTGGCATATGCACACTCTCACCCTGGCACATACATAAATAATTTTAAACCCAAATAAGTGTCATTGAGGTCACTTGCAGCCAGATGACTACCTGGGTGTTATCTCTAGAACTCAAATAAGGGAAGTAGATAAGACATCTTTACGTTGTCCTCTCACTGCCACACACACGTGATGGCACAGGTATATACAAACAAACATAGTTCAAATAATTTTAAATGGGTGAAATTAACAAAGTAAATAACCCAGTTATTGAGAATATATGAAATGATTTGCCAGTTTACATTATTATTACAGAATTTCAAAAGGTATTACTGTGCATCAGAACATTTATGATTTCTTATGAAATTTTATTATCTTTTAATTCTCTGTTTTACACATAGATCATTTAAAAAGCACATTTCAGCTTGGCTTAGAGGTGCATTGCTTATTAGGTCCCTTGTCATGTTTACTGAGAGTTTCTTCTAAGGCTTGCAAATGAGCACCTAGGGTCTGTTCTAGGGAGTGAACCTCCTCTCTGGCAAGGGACTCCAGATTTCTCATGGAATCATACAAGTTTTTATGTTCCTCAGAAACACATGAATCCATGGACCTTATCTTATCAATTAATGATAATTTTTCTTCCTTATATAGTGTCCGGAGAGTTAGTGTTCTGTCCATGAAATATTCACATTTATTTTCAATAAGATCAATTTTTGGTACAAGCAGATTCCAGAGAAAGAATCTTTTTCTGTAATTCTTCATTGCTATCTTTTAAAGCAGATTCCAGAGAGAGAATCTTTTTCTGTAAGCCTTCATTGCTATTTTTGAAAGCCTGTAAATCCTGGTTAGCAGATTCCCGAGAATCTTTTCTGTAAGTTTTCATTGCTATCTTTTAAAGCCTGTAAATCCTGGTTAGCAGATTCCCGAGAGAGAATCTTTTCTGTAAGCTTTCATTGCTATCTTTTAAAGCCTGTAAATCCTGGTTAGCAGATTCCAGAGAGAGAATCTTTTTTTGTAAGCTTTCATTGCTATTTTTTAAAGCCTGTATCAGTCCCAATAATGACTCATCTTTGTTCTTGTTATTAAAACAGTGTTTGAACACTGTGTGAATTATTACGATGAATGCCAAAATGGTACAGGCCAGATATGCCTTAGGAAGGTCATATATTTCCAGGAAGATGTCATCATCATACAGGCAAAAAGGTTTTCAAATTCTTGTGAGGTAATGTTGTCGGCCATATTACAAGAATTACTCAAAATTTGTTAGTCAATTTTAAGGTGTAAAATTATCAAGTACTTTTACTTGAAACAGTATGCTTACCTTTCGTGTTTTGGGGGGGTGTAGTAGCACTTTTCAGCCAGCAGGTGGCATTGGTACAACTCCAAAGCAGGGCCTGCTGGTGATCTTGGCTGACTGCAGCTTGCTGGAGTCAAGATGGCGGGAGCTGGAGCTGGCACTCAGGAAGCGGGGGAGTGCCTCTTTCGCTGGTCTTGGGGCTAACTAGGGAACTGAGACCAGACTGGCTGCTCCCTTTTTCAGGAATGGAACCGTGTAGGCGTTCCTTGATTATATGGAATTTTGCAGGCAGGTTTAGGTACTCGCTAGCCGGGGAGGAGGCTGAGGGTGGGAGCCACCCAGGCCTTTGGAATTTGCCCCACGTGAGTGCCAGATATTGGTGAAATTATTAAGGCCACTCCACATAGCTAAAAGGAGATTTATTTAATGGTGTAACTTACAAGTTAAGGGATAGGTAGGTTGTGGGGTCTGGGGAAGGTGTATTGCAGTCCAGCAGTGCTCTCTGGAGCTCTGCTTGGACCACCTCCACTGTCCAGGGTCCCAGAACCGAGAGAGAGAGCGCAGGCCCATCCAGATCTCAGGTCTCCAGGCGCCTCCCTTGGCCCCACCTTGTAGGCACGACAGTTGCCGAAGTCTCAATGGGGGTTGGAACTTCCAGATCAAAGCTGGAATGGCTACCCACTACAGTTTCCTCCCTCTTTCAGTAAACAGCATTTGGCATTCTGCTCTGGTGAATGACTCGCTGTCTTTGTCTCTGTCTTTTCGATCCACAGCCCCTTGTTCAGACATGGTGAATGGGTGGTGGTAGCGTGGGCATTATCGCTACAAATGGAGGTCACACCAAGGTCCGAGAAAGAAGGGACAAGCTGATGGACACCTGAAAGGTAAGGCTGGCCAGCAATTTAAAGAAAAAAGAAAAGATAAGGGTGAATTGAAATGGGTGCAGCTAGCTCGCAGTCACTTCTGGAACAATTAATTGGACTGCTGAGGCAGCAAGGCACAATCATTAAGGGCAAGACAGCTAAAGATTTTGTTCAAATCCTCCAGAATGTCAGTACTTGGTTTCTGGTCTCTGGAGGATTTAATATATCAGATTGGGAACAGGTTAAGATTGACTTACAAAAATATCTGCATAGAGAAGGGCCTGATTCCATATCTTAGCTACTTTTTCTTTGTGGTGCTTGGTTAAAGATGCATTGCTTAGTGGTGATATTAAAGTTCAAGAATAATTAACTAAAGCTAAAGCTGTGTTGGAGGAGTCTCAGATAGAGGAGGCTCTCAGATCCCTTCAAACTTCCAATGTTTCTGATTCAGCAGAGTCGTCTTCTGATTCTGCAGAGTTGTCTTCTGATTCTGCAGAGTCATCTTCAGAGGGTGATGATGTAGAAGTCAGATTAGAAAAAAAATACTAGATGATTAAGAGGGAAATCACAGAAAAATTCTTACAAGGATAGACCTCCAGCCCGTAACCCTAACTTCTGCAACAAGGAGGTCCTTCCTTCTGCACCCATAGAGGGGTTTCCGGGGGGAGTTGCTTACCCAGTTATAGAGACTTAAAATGCTGAAGGTCAGATTCAAAGGGAACACAATCCTCTAGATTTTAAAAGCATCAAACAGCTTAAGGAAGCTGTAATGTCATATGGGCCATATGCTTCTTTTACCACCGCTATACTTGAATCTTTTTCTGCCTTAAATTGTACCCCTAGCGATTGGATGCAGTTGTGTCATGCTGCTTTCTCTGGGGGGGATTATTTAATTTGGAGGAGTGAGTTTCAAGAACATTGCCAAACTGCAGCTAATAGAAATGCCGCTGCAGGCTTTCCGGCTCGTAATCTTGAGATGTTCACAGGTACAGGGCAGTATGCCACTGTACAAGTACAGATTTTGTATGATCCTGCAATTTATTCACAGATTAGCGTAGCTGCTACCAGAGCATGGAAAGGGCTGCCTAATAAACCTGCTGGTGAACAACTGTCTAAAGTCATTCAGGGGTCATCAGAACCACTTGCAGAATTTGTAGATCGCCTGCTTCAATTAGCAGGGAGAGTATTTGGGGATGTTGATCAAGCCATGCCAATAGTAAAGCAATTGGCCTTTGAAAATGCCAATAAATATTGTAAGGAGGCCATTAGGCCTCATAAAAATAAGAGCTTAAATGATTATCTTAAGTTACATAGAAATATAGACAGGTTTAACATCATGGGATAGGTAATGGCTTCAGCCATAAGGGGCAATAATTCTGCAGGAGCCCACCAAAAAACCTGTTTTGGATACGGCCAGCAAGGTCATGTTAAGAAAAATTGTCCTCAAGCCCAAGCAGTGGCAAAGACACGGGGACTTTGCCCCCGATGTCAAAAGGGCTGTCACTGGAGTAAGGAGTGCTGATCTAAGGTCGATGCTCAGGGAAATCCATTACCACCTTTGGGAAATGGGCAGCGGGGTCCCCTCTGGACCCCCCACAGCCAGGTGTACAGAGCCCTGGATACACCTGTCCCAACTTCAGTTTCCCACCATCCCATTCAGTTCATTCCTTGAAGGAATCCCTTTCTTTCCAAGACCTTCTCAGAGGCACCCCTGGAAGCGCAGGATTGGACCTCTGCGCCTCTGCCAGCGCAGTATTAACACCTCAGATGGGCCCCCAGGATCTCGGTACTGGAGTCATGGGCCCACTACCTGCAGGGTCTTTAGGCCTGATTTTGGGCAGGAGCAGTGCTCTTATGCAAGGTATTAGAGTAATTCCAGGAGTGATAGATGAAGACTCTGAAGGTGAAATTAGAATCATGGTTGAGGCTGGTAAGGGGGTGACAATTATTCCCCAGGGTGCTTGCATAGCACAATTGTTTTTGATGCCTCGCTTCCAAACTAATAATCCTTTTCTTAAACCACATAGAGGTGAGGGTGGGTTTGGCTCTACAGGCCCTCTAGCCTGCTGGGTTTCCACATTAGAACAAAGACCCATGCTAAATTTAAAAATTAATGATCGTAATTTTCAGGGTCTTTTAGATACTGATGCTGACACTTCAGTTATCTCTATAAAACATTGGCCCAAAGGTTGGCCCCTTAAAAATTCCACCTCTAACCTACAAGGTATTGGCACAGCTCAGATGCCATTACAGAGCAGGCTACTCTTAAATTGGAAGAATGAGGAAGGTCATGCAGGAACTTTTCAACCCTTTGTGTTACCTGACATTCCAGTGAACTTGTGGGGATGGGATGTGTTAGACAGTATGGGAGCAGTGCTTATTACACAGCCTGTACAACAGATGCTGAAGAATCAGGGCTACTGCCCGGGCAGAGGTTTAGGGAAAATTTGCAAGGAGATCCACTACCTGTGGCAGACAAAAGCTGTATTACTAGATGTTCTGCAGATACTAGAGGATTAGGGTCTTTTCCATAGGGGTCACTATACAGCAGCCTTCGATTATACAACCAATAAAAATCACTTGGAAAAGTGATGACCCTGTATGGGTGGAACAGTGGCCCCTTACTAAAGAAAAGTCGGAGGCTGCAAATGCATTAGTTAAAGAACAGTTAGATGCTGGACATATCATTCCTTCCACTTCACCTTGGAACACACCTATATTTTTTATTAAAAAGTCAGGAAAATGGAGGCTATTACAGGATCTTAGAGCTGTAAATAAAACCATGCTTCTCATGGGAGCAACAAAGCCTGGCTTGCCTGCCCCTGTGGCAATTCCTAAACATTGGCATTTAATTGTGGCTGACTTGAGAGATTGTTTCTTCACCATTCCTTTGCATCCCGGGGACAGTCCTCGCTTTGCATTTAGTATTCCATCTGAAAATCTCAAAGAACCTTATCAGAGATATCAGTGGGTGGTCTTGCCCCAAGGAATGGCCAATAGCCCTACCATATGTCAAATTTATGTGTCTTTGGCCATAGCTCCAGTTCGAAAAGATTTTCCAGATGTTTATATAATTCACTTTATGGATGATATGTTATCAGCTGCTAAATAAAAAAATTGTTTTTGATGCCTTTTCTAAATTACAAGAGTTTCTTAGCCTGGTTAATTTACAAATAACCCCAGAAAAGGTACAGGTATCCTTTCCCTATCATTTTTTAGGTCATGAATTGTTGGGCACAGGCATACGTCCACAAAAGATTACTCTGAATATGGATCAGCTACGCACACTTAATGATTTCCAAACCTTTCTGGGAGATATTTAATTGCTTCAGTCCACTTTAAAGATTCCAACAGGTCAACTTTGTCCTTTGTATGATGTCTTAAAGGGCAACCCTGACCCTTTATCTCCCCATGAATTAACAGTTGAAGGGCGTACAGCCCTACAATGTGTGCAAGAGGCCCTGGATCAGGCTCACATGCAATATATAGATCTTTCTTCTCCCTTATTGTATTTGATATTTTGTTTTTCCCATTCTCCTACTGGAGTGTTTTGGCAAACAGGTCCTATACTATGGGTACATTCCCCAGCTTCTCCAGCAAAAACCATTACTCCTTATCCTCAGGCTGTTGCTCAGATTATATTTAAGGGACTCAAGATCATTGTTCAAACTTTTGGTAAGGAGCCAGATACTGTGGTGACCCCATACACCCAATCTCAAATAGCATGGTTGCAAGCTAATGATAATGATTGGACCATATTGACATGCTCCATGCAGGGTCGGTTTGATACTCACTACCCCTCCAATGATGTGTGTCAGTTCTTAAAATTGCATCCTGTTATATTTCCCAAAATAGTACAGATGAGTCCTATTCCTCAGGCCCATGTGGTATGGCCTTCACATGGTTTTGCTGTGGTAGTTTCTGGTAACATAGTGAAGAGAATGAAAGTTTAGGGCATTTCTGCCCAGATGGCAGAGGTATGGAGGCACTGTTGCTTGCTTTACAGATGTTTTCTGATGAGCTTCTAAATATTTATACTGATAGCCAATATGTGGCACATGCAGTTATGCCTTTGGAGACAGCAGCCTACATACCATCCATTTCTCCCATTCATGAATATTTACTGCAAGTGCAAGGGCTTATATGGTCCCACTCACATAACCTTTATGTGGGCCATATTAGAGCTCATACTCAATTGCCTGGACCTCTAAGTGAAAGTAATCAGAGGGCTGACGCCATTACTCGTATGGCTGTCACATTAGTTTATTCTGCTTTGATAAGGCTACTCAGTTGCATCAACATTATCATCTTAATGCTGGATCTCTTCATCATCATATGGGCATAACCCGGGAACAAGCCATCCAGATAGTTAAATCATGTCCTATTTGTGCTGAGTTTTTACCTGTTCCTCATTTAGGAGTTAATCCCCGAGGACTTTTACCTAATCATGTGTGGAAAATGGACATCACACATGTGCCTTCCTTTGGAAAATTACAATATGTCCATGTGTCTATTGATACATATTCCTCCCTAATTTTTGATTCTGCCCATTCAGGGGAAAAGGTTAAAGATGTAAAGAATCACTGTCTTCATGCTTTTGCTTACATGGGAGTGCCAAAATGCATAAAAACTGATAATGGTCCCGCCTACAGCAGTACAGGATTTTCAAAATTCTGCCAAGATTTTTCTATCATTAATAAGACTGGTATTCCTTATAATCCTCAAGGACAGGTGCTGTGGGATGTTCTATATGGCAAATGTGTTGCTGATTGGTACATAAATAAAACACTGATTGGCCATTGGCTAGGCAGGAAGTATAGGTGGGAAAAGGAGGAGAATAAAGTTGGGAAGTAGAAGGCTGAGTCAGAGACACTGCCAGCCGCCACTATGACAAGCAGCATGTGAAGATGCCGGTAAGCCACGAGCCATGTGGCAAAGTATAGATTTATAGAAATGGATTAATTTAAGCTATAAGAACAGTTAGCAAGAAGCCTGCCATGGCCATACAGTTTGTAAGCAATATAAGTCTCTGTGTTTACTTGGTTGGGTCTGAGCGGCTGTGGGACTGGCAGGTGAGAGAGATTTTCCCTGACTGTGGGCCAGGCAGGAAAACTCTAGCTACAAATGGCGCCCAACATGTTGGCAAGAGCTTCCACCTAAAACCTGAGAAAAGATTCTAAAACGGAGCTAAAAACAGCATCCTAATTGTCTTTCTCAAATGAGCGGCAGCTGCTGGTTTGAGCTACTGGTGGGTTCCTAGTGTGCACGCTCTCTCGACCTGCAGTATGGTGGGAATGAGGCCTCTGCAAGTGGCACATTAAGCTGTGTGGTGGATTTAGCCTTTGCTAGTACAAAACAAAAAAAGAGGTTTCTGAGCTACATGCTGCTTGGATAAAAGCATAGAGACCCATGATAGCTCCCAGAGCTGGCGGTAAACCACCGCCATGTTGGGAAGCTGAGGTGGGCGGAGCCAGCAGCCACAACTGCTGCAGTTTAAAGCAATAGATTCACAATAAGACAGATTCAGATGTAATAGTTTACAATGTGTTTAAAATATATGTAGGCTTGAAAGAGACAAAAAAGGTGATAAACACAGTTATATAAACAAATACATAGTTTTGAAAAATAAAGTCTTTAAAGAGACAGTAAAGTTAATATAAAAAATAAGCCATGCAAAGATGAATATTACACAGAGAATCTGGATTGTGTTGTCTTTGGGATTTTTAACTGCAGAAAAACATTTGATTGTAAAAGATGTTGAGTTAAATCAATATGTATATTTTAAAGATACCTTGACTTCAAAATTTGGATGTAAGGATGTGTTGCTTTGGAAAGGAGACTCTGCTTTTGTTCCCACAGACAGCCAGGGGCTATGGATTTGTTCCAGATTAAGATACATCAGGTTTGACCAGCCAAGACCCCCTGAAAGGTCTCCGATGGCACCATGGCCCAGATGATCCAACATCCAGAATGTTTTGAAGGCAACTGGCTTAGACAATACGGCCTCATGGACTATTCCATAATCCTAAAATTTTCGTTGTGTCCCTATAAGATACAGCGCCCCCCTCCAGCAGGAAGTAGTAAGAGAATCTATGCCCAAATTCCCAAATTATATGTAATTTTACTTTGTTAAGGTTAAAACCTTCCTTTTTTGAAAAAAAAAAGGGGGGAAGTGCTGTGGGATGTTCTATATGGCAAATGTGTTGCTGATTGGTACATAAATAAAACACCATTGGCCATTGGCTAGGCAGGAAGTATAGGTGGGAAAAGGAGGAGAATAAAGCTGGGAAGTGGAAGGCTGAGGGAAGGAGTCACTGCCAGCCGCCACTATGACAAGCAGCATGTGAAGATGCCGGTAAGCCACGAGCCATGTGGCCAAGTATAGATTTATAGAAATGGATTAATTTAAGCTATAAGAACAGTTAGCAAGAAGCCTGCCATGGCCATACAGTTTGTAAGCAATATAAGTCTCTGTGTTTACTTGGTTGGGTCTGAGCGGCTGTGGGACTGGCAGGTGAGAGAGATTTTCCCTGACTGTGGGCCAGGCAGGAAAACTCTAGCTAGCAGACAGGCTATAGTAGAACGCTGCCATCGTACCTTAAAAACATATATTGCTAAAGTAAAAAGGGGGAGCTAGGGGCTCATCTCTCCATATTCTACTCTTTCCCTTGTTTTATATATTTAAATTTTTTATCAGTGGACTCTACTGGTGTATCTGCTACATATAAGCACTGGAGGGCTCCTGTTGCAAATCATCCTCTGGTGCGATGGAAGGATCTTTCTACTGGCACTTGGAGGTGACCCGATCCAGTGTTGGTGTGGGCCCAGGGATCTGTTTTGGTCTTTCCACAGGACAATGAGGTCCCTCTTTGGGTTCCTGAGCACTGCATGTGCCCTGTGGCTGCTGCTGAATCCCAACATGGCAGAGACCTATTGGGCCTTTGTGAAGAACTTTCCCCTTCTGATGCCAATGGGTATTGAGAGCCCAATATGGCCAGCCTTGGCAAGCATTAATGTAAGCCTAGGAACTGTAGCCATGCGGTTGGATTCTCCAGAAGGTAATGTATAGTAACTGCTCTTTCAAGCATGTTTAAGAACGTGTCACCCAGACACCTTGGAGTTTAAGGACAACCATGAAGGTCACTGACCTCTATTTGTTAACACTAGCATGCCAGCTAAGCTTTTTTCACATTTTGCAATCCTCTTCAAGCTGGTGTAGTACCCCTACTTTTCAGGAGTGGCTTTGTGAAACATTTATTGGCCTCCTGAAATTCATCTAGCCTCCTTTGATGATACCTTTAAAATTTGTGAGCCTGAATGTAGCCATTATTGAGACCATTAGTTCTGCTCCTTGTGTGCTGTTTGTTTTTCCTTTATGGTTCTTAGTTGTTCTTTTACAGAGCTGCCAGCTTAAGTCGTGCTGGGATCAAGAAAAATGGGCCTTGGTGGTTCCTGTTCCTGGAGTCCATGCCAGTGGATGCCCACACGATCCAGAAGAGAATCTGACATCGCTGTTGCCACTGCTGCTTTTGTTTCTGGGATTGCTATTTCATAATTGATTACTACAGCTAGCACAATGGAGACCCTGGCAGCAAAAGTAGCTACCGCAGTTAGTTAATCTTTCATTCTATTGGGCATGATAAATTTAATTCAACAGTTATATACATTTGAATTGGCTTTGTAAGTTGTAAAATTTATAAAACTCAAGTTCCATTTGCTTTTGGGATACCATCTTATGAGGACTCCAATTTGCATAAGGCTCAAAGGAAGGGAATGGCTCAATTGCCTTTCGTCTCCTGGCTATGGGTGAGTTAGGACTTCTATTGGTCTTTTCTGTGTCGAACAGATTGCAAGCCCAGCGCCACTTTGAGATCTTTGGCAACAGTTACTCTACAGCTCACATGGTTGAGTCTGTATGATAATGAGTATTCAGAGACTAGTAATGCTTGGGGGGCATCATCAACATAACCCAGAGCACCTGTGTGGCCTGGGCAGGTGTCTCCATTACAGGTAAGGTGACCTGCTGACGTCCCACACAATCTAAATCAGAAGCTCATTTTTTTAGTAAAAAGGGGGGACCTGTAGGGCCCTGGCTCCCCATATTTGAGTAAACTGTTTGCCTGCTTGCCGGCCTTGACCAGATGTCCTCCCTATGCTAATTCCCTGCCGGTATCCACCCTCCTGAATGCTTGAGTGAAGTTCCTTGTTTGTGTATCCTGCATATTGGGTGTTAACAGCTTAGATGCAAGAATGTAGAACATTTGGTAGCGAATTTCTGCCCTCTGGGGTTCTCCCATTGTGCTGTAAGCCTGTATTTAAGGTTTCCTCATCTTTCAATAAACGGCATTCAGCATTCTGCTGTGGCGAATGACACGCTGTCTTTGTCTCTGTTTTTTTGATCCACAGCCCCTCGCTTGGACATGGTGAACGGGTGGTGGTAGCATGGGCGTTATTGCTATAAGAATGTGAATTCATTGTCCCCACATTACAAGCTGGTCACAGTACAGAAATTGAGGAACAGTAAGGAGCATTAAAATTTTCTAGTTTTCTCTGCAGTTTGGATTACCAATATGCAATCAGTAAATTAGTTATAGGTGATGTATAAATGTCCTGAGTGGCCATTTCTTGGGTTCCATAGACCAGGTTCCTTGGCCAGAAGATTGACATGTCCCCATTGAAATGTCAGGTCTGGCTGGGTGATGGTGGCGCATGCCTTTGATCCCATGACCCAAGAGGCAGAGGCAGGTGAATCTCTGTGACTTTGAGGCCAGCCTGGTCTACAAAGTGACTTTGTTTATTGCTGTGGTATGGTCTGTATGTCAAATTGCTCTGATTGGTCAATAAATAAAACACTGATTGGCCAGTGGCCAGGCAGGAAGTAGATGGGACAAGGAGAAAGGAGAATTCTGGGAAGTGGAAGGCTGAGTGAAGGAGTCACTGCCAGCCACCACTATGACAAGCAGCATGTGAAGATGCTGGTAAGCCTCGAGCCACATGGCAAGGTATAGATTTATAGAAATGGATTAATTTAAGATATAAGAACAGTTAGCAAGAAGCCTGCCATGGCCATACAGTTTGTAAGCAATATAAGTCTCTGTGTTTTCTTGGTTGGGTATGAGCGGCAGTGGGACTGGCAGGTGAGAGAGATTTGTCCTGACTGTGGGCAAGTCAGGAAAATTCTAGCTACAGTTTATAATGTTCTCAAGTTATCCTATGTTCCTCTTATGCATCATTGTCCAATTAGCCTCCTTCTGAATTTGCATTTGTCCTTTGAAAACCAAATCCATTGGTTTACATTAGCAAGAGACTTGCTGTTGAATTTGACACATATCTTCAGCCCATTTGGGATAGATCTGTGCTTCTGGTGGAAGCCAGGGCTTGGAAGCACTCTGCTGTGTTCCTTCAGCTCACCAGGGCCTGTCATTCAGGTCTCAATAGCCAATCAGGACTCAAGAGAACCCATCAGTCAGATGGGAGGGTTCTTCCAGTACCAGGCTGCTGTGGATGATTGATTGATAAGTAAAACACTAATTGGCCAGTATCCAGGCAGGAAGTATAGGTGGGACAAAGAGAGAGAAGTCTGGGAAGTGGAAGGCTGAGGCAGAGATGCTGCCAGCTGCTGCCATGAGAAAATGTTAAGATACAGGTAGCCATAAGCCATGTGGCAATTTATAGATTAATAGAAATGGGTTAATTTAAGATATAAGAACAACTAGCTAGAAGCCTGAGCCATTAGGCCAAACAGTTTAAATAATATAAGCATCTGTGTGTTTATTTTATAAGTGGACTGTGGGACTATGGGGGCTTGGCGGGACCTGAAGAGAAACTCTCCAGCTACACCAGGCTTCTGGCTCAGCTCCTCTGCTGAGGAAGTTGGAAGGGGGCTTGTGTACACTTGGCCATGGCCTCTGCTGTTGGTAGAGAATGTGCCGTCCATGGTAAGCAAAGGGCTGCTGTCCCCAGATGGGAAGCAGTGAATGGCCATGGTGAGTGAGGTCCCCCTCTCCCCAGACTTTGGAGGAACTGCCTGTTGAGCCAAGGTGGCCAGTGTAGTGAGTCCTCCCCAGGCTGCGTGGGAGTGAGTAGCCAGATGCAGACCTCCAAAATCTTAAATCAAATGATTGTATCACCTCTGGGGTTTCAAAGTTATCCATTTGAGTCATGGAATTGAATATCCATTGCAGTAAAAGAAAATGGATCTGCATGTAGAGCATGGTTTCTACCTTAAGACCAGAATAGAAGGAAATATGGTAGGCAATGAGTTGCTGGAGTCACCACTACGAAAATGAACCTGATTGTAGCAGGGGGAGTGATTTTGTAATTTCCCAGCATGTACCAATTGATGACTTGTGAATGAAGACAGACCAGATTTTTTTGTGTACAATTAGGGAAGGTAAACTTCTCAAATTGATTTTTTCAATTAGGCAAACTCTGCTATGCAGATATGTTCAATCCTGCTTGACACAGTTATGTCAGCTCAGAGGTTTGAGGAAAAGGCCATTGACTGTAACTGTGTGTCAGGTTATAGATCTCAGCAGCTCACAAGTGAATGTGTGCAAAATCAATCAATCTATCTCTTATAAATGACATTCCCTCTACTAGAGAAGGTCCTACTATTTTTGAAGTCAATGTAGCTAAATTTTTTATCTTAAAAATACATTATTTTTATCATTTTAAAATATCACTTATTATTATTTTTTGTTTTGGTTTCTTTTTTGTTATTTTCAAGACAGGGTTTCTCTGTGTAGTTTTTGGTGCTTGTCCTGGATCTCACTCTTTAGACCAGGCTGGCCTCAAACTCACAGAGATCCACCTGGCTCTGCCTCTCAAGTGCTGGGATTAAAGGTGTGCACCACCACTGCCCAATGGTAATATTATTTTTTTTAACATTTTCTTCAAGTGCATTACTGCTCTTATCTCTACTTGTTTCTGTTCTCTAATGATTCTAGGTCATTAGTAGTTTTGCTCCTTTTCTTTTAAGTGTTATTGATTATTGAGTTCTCTCTAGAAGAATGTCTCCTGTAGTATATGCTTGACTCATGTTATGCAATTATGAATTTCATTGAACACTTAATCCTGCCTCTGCTGCCCAGTGCTGGAAGAACCATCCTGCAACTCCTTCCAGGCTGGGCCTCATCAGCCCAGTGGGAAGTAAAAATGGTCCAGGTGATTAATAAATGTCCACCAGTCTCTCCATCTTTTTTGGGGGACATAACAAATGAAGATGGACCTGTGCAAGAATTGAGTTCATGGCTGGGTGGTGGTGATGCATGCCTTTAATCCCAGCACTCGGGAGGCAGAGGCAGGCGGATCTCTGTGAGTTTGAGGCCAGCCTGGTCTCCAAAGTGAGTTCCAGGAAAGCCGCAAAGCTACACAGAGAAACCTGTCTCGAAAAACCAAAAAAAAAAAAAGAATTGAGTTCACTCATAAACTTTAAAACTGATGTAGTGAAAGTGTAGAAATGCAGGGGAAGGACAGGTGAGAGCTTTCCTGCTTCAACAGTAGTTGAGATTATCAATGTGGAGTCATACAATCAATTTTAGATGATTCATAAATGTCCTCACTGGCCATTTCTTGGGGACCATAGACCAGAGCATTCAATAATCTGGATAAAGGATTGACCTTACCATGAAATGAAATTGCTGTAGTTCCAGTGTTTCAACCAGTATAGAAGACCTGAGTAGCGGGGCTGGGGAGATAGCTCAGAGGTTAAGAGCACTGACTGCTCTTCCAGAGGTCCTGAGTTCAATTCCCAGCAACCACATGGTGGCTCACAACCATCTGTAACAAGATCTGGTGCCCTCTTCTGGCCTGCAAGCACACATGCTGTATACATAATAAATAAATCTTAAAAAAAAAAAAAAAAAAAAAAAAAAAGAAGAAGACCTGAGTAAAATATTGTGGCCCTGCCTAACAGACAGTTATTTTCCTTGTTTAAGATGTATAGCCTCAGGGAAAAATAAAAGATGCGTGTAATCTTTGTGTGGATCTCATACTAATCCCTAGTCCTGGGACACATGGCCATTGAATCTGTTTCAAGTTTTCAAAATAATTCGTTCAGTTTATGACTATATCATGCCGACAGTCTCCTTCCTTCCTACAAGCCCTACTATTGATAACTCATTGTTTTGTAATTCCTGGCCTGTTTTTCCTTAACAGCAGTTACACAGTAAGAATTGTTATTTTTTGAATGAGACCTATGTTTGGCCACAGGACTTTGAGCTATGAAGCAAAGGGTTGGCTCCACTGGACAGTCAGTGTGTATTGGAATTTCTGCAGAAAAAACTGGGTGCCTTGGGAGAGGAACAGAAATTGCTCTGAGAGACTGGAAGAATTTCTACTAAAAGACAAATTTCCCAGATTAGGGTCCTGTCTTGTCCCTAGGGTGGAAGGGCAGAGCTGCGAGGGCCTCTGATGTCTGTGTCATTTGATCTTTGATTACCCAATTGGGGAGTTGCTACTGTTCTGAGTCCCAGCTGGGTGGCCTTAGCTAATGTGGGAACTTGGCAAGGCTTAGCAATTAGGAATACCAGTGAGAGGTAGCTTGCAAATTCTTTCTAGAACTCTCTTCTGGCTCTGCTTTAAGGACCTATGAGGGAGACCACAAGCCATGTCATGGTGATTGTGGGAAACACTGACCCCAGACCAAGAGGAGCAGTTCTGCTGAGCTGTCAGAGCTTCTATGAGTGGGATGGGCCATTAGCCAGATTGTGATTCTGTTGGTCCATATGGTGACTGGGCAGTGGCCCTTCTCTGAGACTCCCTGAATGTAGATTCTATGGGGAGGGTAGGCTCTACCACCCTGCCTATGGGAAACTGATATTTGTAATGTATATGTCTCGTGTGCACATATCGACTTTGCTTTTAGTGTGTAGTGGAAAGTCAGATTGGAAAACTGAAGGTCTTGTTTTCTCCAAGTTCTGAGCATTGCACTCAACTTTCATGTTTGTCTTATAAAAATTACAGATGATTTAACAACTGGTAGAAAGAAGTGTTGAGGATCATCCTTCAGCAGTATGTGATTAGAATGTTTTAAATTTTCTGATACCAGTCACTACATGATTCAGGGTATTCCAGTTCCAGGGGACAAAAGCAGTTTCTGACTTGTAGAGATATTTCAAGTTTGCATGGTGTTGGGCAGGTGAATAGGGCAGATTCCACATCATGTGCCAGGAAATAGACACTGAATTGTTCTTCTACACTGTTTTGTGATTTGGCATCAGTGGCACTTTGTTTGCCTGATACCCACAAGAGGACATGAGAGTTTGCACAGCCATAGTATGATATTGCCTCCACTTGCCAAGAGACCTCTATCATTTGGTGGCTCTATGTTTGAAAGAAATATCAGTAGCTGGATTGTCCAGAACATAACA